TTCAATTTCTTGCTGTTTCACATTTTCAGCCATGGCCAAACGTTTGATTCCAACTCTGAACAGAGTTCTCGTGGAGAAGATCGTCCCCCCGTCTAAAACCTCCACGGGTATCCTCCTCCCTGAAAAATCAGCCAAGGTAATAATTTTGTTTTCTTTTGTTTTCATTTAATGTTTGATTGAGTTTGGTGTGAGATCTAATGTGGGCTCTGTAAGCAGTTGAATTCTGGTAAAGTGATAGCAGTCGGACCGGGTTCGCGGGACATTGCCGGAAATAATGTCCCCGTCGCCGTCAAAGAAGGGGACACTGTTCTCTTGCCGGATTACGGCGGGACCCAAATCAAATTGGGCGAGAAAGAGTGAGTTTTTACAACCAAGATTGCATTTTTATTCCTTTTTCTTTTTTTTTTTTTCTTGTGTGTGATTGTTTAATGGTTGTTGTGACTGAAATTTGGTGGGTCGTGGTGCAGGTATCTTTTGTACAGAGATGAGGACATCTTGGGCACTCTTCATGACTGATTCGTGGTTTTATGTATGAGAGTATCTGTTTTCTTTGATTTGAATTTTAGTGCCGGTTATCTTTGCTTTTGTTAGTCAGAATGTTTCATTGTGGTTCTTTAATTTCATGAGAATCGACATTTCTTCGCATTCATGAAGCCGTTCTTTTACCTTTTGGTCATTTTTATGCTATTCTGATCTTGTTTTCTATGTAATTGCCATATGGAATAAGCATTTGTGTGCTCTTGCGTCTTGCTGTAGACCGAGTTGATAATGTTAACAATAATAATGGTAGAGCTTTAGGTTTGATCTCAGGCAAAGGACATTAGTATTAACTGTTTTCAACTTGGGTGCAAGAATTGGGTGACGAGCATTGGAGGGAATTACATGCCTAAATTTCGAGTATTTCGATTTGCAACCAATTTAAATTTTGATAAAACGCAACATGAACCACGGGGAAACGTAAATTACCAACTTCAGCCCACCAAATATTCTAAAACCAGTCGAAAGCTGCTCACTTCCCACCAAAAAGTTCAAGAATCATAACGTGAAATCCATCCGTCTATGTGAATGACGCTTAGATAGCACTTGTGTGTTGGGACTAAATGATGAGGGAGTTGAATTCATGCTAAATTGCTAACTATTGCATGTAACTTGTATGGTTTGGATTTGAAATTTTAGCTCGTATTTTTGCTGTTGTGATGGATTTCATTGTATTCTCCGTTCCTTAAAAGAGCAGGGTTACTAGAATTTTTTCATATGAATCCCTGGTGTTGGTCATAACTTTAAGAGCAGGGTTACTAGAATTTTTTCATATGAATCCCTGGTGTTGGTCATAACTTTAGGTCCTTGCGGTGTTGTTGCAACTCAAATGAAGTAATTGATCGTGCATAAAATGATTCAACTTACGTACTGTTCTTTAGGTCTTTTTGGTTATACATTTGGGCGAATCACAACGATAATATTCAGTTTTCTGGTTAGGATAAGGATAATGCAGAAGTTTTTTCATATCTAATGTCTCTATACTTAGATACATGTCCGGAGCTAAATGCAAGAATAAAGAACCACGTGTCCCGTCCCATGTTATCTGATCATCGACTTGTCATTGCATTCACCAATTGCAATGAAGGAACAACTTTTAGTTGTTAAGGTCAAAATGTAAGGTGTTGTGGTTAGCTCTTTTCCAATATGGAAAAAGATGCTCTCTAATGCAAACATAGACTGGATACAACTGATGTGGTAGTACAAAAAATAAATCTGACCTACCCTTATGTATAGACACAAGTAAAAACTCGATCTCTTTGCTTAGCCTAGGAATGGTGTTTGGCTATTTTTACTTAGATTTATCCATGTTATCAAAAGCTTGGATCTATTTATACATCGTAAAAGTAAAATTAGACTCAAAGCATGCTTTTAAGATACAATTAATGTTTGTGTGTTTGTTATCCATGACTATGGGGTCGTATAAAGTTTTATCCAACGTTTGTTTTT